AAAAAAGTTAACTGGGCATCTGTATTTTTACTTACTAAATCTAGAAATCCTAAGGAGTTCATTCCATGAGCACAGTTTTGATACAAAGAAGCCAAAGACATCATGTCACTGTGTGTTGATAGATTTCCTCCGTATTTGCATAGAGTTTAACAGGGAGAGAACTCCAGTAATCATAGTATTGGCTCCCCCTCCGCAGGAGGTTGTTTAGTTTCCAGTAGTTCATATGGCCCTTGAAATCTGGGACAAGATCCCATGGATTTATATCCTAGTCTTGTCATTCTTTGGCCACATAACCTTGAATATACGTAGCCTCTGTGCTCGTTTTCTCATATATAAAATGGGAATGCTAGTAGTTCCCACCTCATGGAATTTCTATAAAGATCAAATGAAAGTGTCTAGTGAATACGCAAAAGATAAAGAGAAAGGAATGGAAGCATGAGGGGGGCGGGGCAGGGGGGCAGGGGGCTGGTTATCAACAAATCACAAAGGAAGACAAAGAGGAAGAAAGGAACAAAGGAACTACAAAACAAAGGAACTAGAAATTAACAAAATAGCAATAGTAAGTCCTAATTTATCAATAGTTTCTGGAAATGTAAATCAAAAGACACAGAGTGGCTGAATGAACAGAAAAACAAGATTCAATGCTGTCTACAAGAGACTCACTTTAAGGACACACACTGGCTGAAAATGAGGGGATAGAAAAATATATTTTCATACAAATGGTAACCAAAAGAGAGCAGGGGTGGCTGTTGTTAGATAAGAGATAAAGAAGGTCATTATATAATGATAAAGGGGATGAAGTGATTGTGAATATTTATGCACCAAGAGTGGAGCACCTAAATGTATTAAGCAAATATTAACAGATATTTAGACAGCAATACAATAATAGTAGGGGGTTTCAAGAGTCCACTTTCAACAATGGATAGATCATCCAGACAGCAAGCCAGTAAGGAAAGAGCAGACTTGAATAATACTCCAGACCAAATGCACCTAACATTCTGTTTATAGTACATTCCATTCAACAGCAGCAGAATACATGTTCTTCTCAAGTGCACATGGAACATTCCCCAGGATAGATCATATGTTGGGTCACAGACCAGTTTTATCAAATTTAATAAAGTTGAAACCATATCAAGTATCTTTTCTGACCACAATGATAGGAAATAAGAAATTAATAACAGAAGGAAAATTGAAAATGTCAAATATGTGGAAATTAAATGACACACTTCCAGGAAACCAATGGGTCAAAGAATAAATTCTTTGAGACACATGAAAATGGAAACACAATATACCAAAACTTTTGGGATAGAGCAAAAGCAGCTCTAAGAGAGAAGTTTTAGTGATAAATGTCTACCTTAAGGAAAATGAAATATCTCAAACAGCCCAACTTTACATCTCAAGGAACTAGAAAAAGAACAACAAACTAAGCCCAGAGTGAGCATAAGGAAGGAAATAATAAAGATTAAAGCATGCCGACCCACCATATTAATGGCATCATGATAACCTAGGAAGGAGGAAACAGCCAGAACTCTGGAGGCCCTGATAAGGTACCTTTGCACCAGCGAGTGGGAGAAGAAATGGAATTCAAAAATCAGCATTGGAGACTAGAACTAATGGATGAAAGTTTGATGCGATATTTACATAGTCCCAAGGTGTCTCCCCTCAAATTGCCTATTAATTACAAAGGGGAAAATGGTAATTTTAATATTGAGAAATCGAACAGGCACCTCCTAACCAATTGATCAGAACTAACATTACCAATATTGGGACAAAGCAATGTCATGTGCCTTCTGACGAGAGGCACTGAGAAAGACACCACATCACTCTTACCGTATTCCTGCTGTGCATAACTTGAATCGTGAATAAACCTCAGACCTAAGTTGTGTTTTTTGACTTTGACAGATTCTCTACCCCCCCAAAAATGACCCTCACTCTTCAAAACTATGAAAGAATAAGACAAGAAGAGCACATATAACCTGTGATCCTGTACTGGATCCTGATAGACATGAAGGCAACTGATGAAAATTTAAGTATGGGCTACAAATTAGATAAACCCATATTAAATTTCCTGAGTTTGATCACTGTACTGTGGTTATGTAAGAAAATGTTTCTGTTCTTAGGAAATACATATGGGCATACTTAGGGGTAAAGGATTTTGATGTCTTCAACTTACACATCTTTTTCTAAACTATTTCAGAGTATGTGTGTATCCACATATATGTTTACATATGTGCGTGTCCACATATGTTTACATATGTGTGTATCTAAATACACATACTTACACATACAGAGAAAACAAACAAATGGGGGAAATGTAAACAATAGGTGACTCTGGGTAAAAGCTCTTTGGAGTCCTTATTTTTGCAACTTTTTGCAATTTTGTAATTATATCAAAATAAGTTTAAAAAATTGCAAAAAGAAAGACGAGACTTTGCAGTGATGCAAGGCCATGACACAGGGGTCTGGTGGGTTACCCTCAGGAACCAGGACTTGGCCCAATGGGAGCCAGTAGTGGGTGAAGGGAAGGGGAACTTGTGAGAGATGACTTTACCATAATGCAGAGGAGGAGGAGAAAGACTAGAGCCAGGGAACCAGTTTACAAACAAGAACGGCATCAACAATAGACTGCGGAGACATCCCAGGGACCAAGTGATGAAATCTGACCCAATCAAGCATCAGCATTCCTCCTCGTGAATCCTCATAGTGTCCCTGTACTGCGAAAGGCTGGGGTGAGGAAATGCACACCAGTGCTCTTTGACTAATCCATAATCACCTATTTACCTCCATCAAGAGACTAATGATGTGGTTTATTCAGAGCCAGGTGGTGAGCAAACTTTTCTCTAAGACATAAGGTTTATGGCAATGACTTTAAATGAATACAAGTCAGATGAATGCATAAAAGTCCCGTAAACAAAGCCATTATTCCAAAACCTGTTCAATATTTATCCAGAGCTTTCCAGAACCTAAACCAAATTTACTTCACTTAGGTCTATATGGAAACTATCAACTTCACTCTGTTAATAAAGTTATGTTTTACAACCTAGTACATTTTGCTGAAAGAGATGAGTGCCCCACTTGCAAAGCTGCCTTCCTTTGCCAACAAAAGAATCTGAGGCAACAAATGATGTTAAACACAAAAAAGGAGACCATTTTCCCCAAGAGATGTACAGAAAGTGGTTTGGATGTCGTTGTCCTCAAAACACACTGATATGTGACTTGAATGCATTATGCATTCTTTTTCCAGGAATAGTGAAAATTAGGAAAAAATAATCCATTGTGATGATGTGCTGGTAGCCTCATCTTCACACAGGAAAGACAGGTCTGTCTGCACCTGGATACTTGAACACTCGAGTCCTCAAAAGAGAGTGATGGTAACTTACTTGTATTTTCAATCTGTTCAAAAGTTACCTACTCGAAGTCATACGATAAATGAACTGTTGGTCTTGGAGCACAAATCAAGGTCTTTCACTCCCAGTCTGTAATATTCAAATACACAGCGCAGAGGTGAAGAGCATGCATGGGCTCCAGAGATGGGCTGTCTGAATTTGAGGGCTAGAACAATCTCTTGCTAGGTACATGAACTTGTACAAGATATTTATCCTCCCTCTGTTTAGTTTCCTCCTCTGTAAAGTGGGTATACTATTGGTACCTACTTCAGAGGTTTGATGGAAAGAGTTGTCGACTGAAAAAAAAATGCACAACCTAAAAATTGAGAATTATATATTATTCAGTGGACTTTCTAAGGACTTAAGCCAAGGAGGCAGCCTCTCAGATGTCTCTGAGGGACTGCTCTGAAGAGGTAAGGGAGGAGCCAGGTAAGGGATATATAGACGCTTTTGCTATAAAAAACGGGTAGTCGGAGCATCAAAGCCAGATATTAAAGAAAGCCAGGTATCTCAAGTTAACCAGGTTAGCACCTTTTGCAGTGGGCTCCTTGAAATCATTCCCTTGCTATGTGCTTTAGCTATCTGGGGCCAGTACCCTGTGCTTTCCCATCCCGAGTCCCTTCAGGGTGTACTCTCAGAGGCAGGGGCGGGGGTGGGGAGGGTGAGGGAGCCCATTTGTTTCCATCCTGAGTTCCCCCTGGCTCACCATCAGGCCGATGGTAGTGGCTGATGGCTGCAGCATTCTTGTTTGCTGATATGGCAGGCACCATTTTCATCCACAGAGTCAGTAGGCAAATTCACATTAGATCTGCTCCTGGAACATGGTAAATGCACAGACAGTGTTTGCTATTAAATGATCAGATCAGGGACTTCCCTGGTGGCGCAGTGGTTAGGAATCCGCCTGCCAATGCAGGGGACATGGGTTCGAGCCCTGGTCCGGGAAGATCCCACGTGCCATGGAGCAACTAAGCCCGTGCACCACAACTACTGAGCCTGTGCTCTAGAGCCCGTGAGCCACAGCTACTGAAGTCTGTGCACCCTAGAGCCAGTGCGTTGCAAGTACTGAAGCCCACACACTCTAGGGCCCGTGTGCCGCAACTACCGAGCCCACGTGCTGCAACTACTGAAGCCCACGTGCCTAGAACCCGTGCTCCACAAGAGAAGCCGCCACAATGAGAAGCCCGTGCACTGCAACAGAAGACCCAACGTAGCCAAAAAATAAATTTAAAAAATAATTATCAGATCAGCAATAGAATTACTAGTAATATATTTCATGATACTCCAGAGTTCCCCTGTGGATCATACCAGCCTCCCTCCAGAAGACATTGCCTGACGTCACACCTTGCCTGAGTCTTCCTTTCCATGTCCTGCTTCTCCAACCCCTTTTTCAGTTTCTTTTGGGAGCACATCTTTAACAAATGACTGACACACAAATCCTCGTGGCAGGGTCTGATTCTGGGGAACTTAAAATGTCTTAGTGGGGTAGCTATAAGAAAATACCATAGACTGGGTGACTTATAAACAACAGACATTTATTTTTCACAGTTCTGGAGGCGGGAATTCTGAGATCAGGGTGCCAGCATGGTCAGGTGATGTCTCTCTTCTTGGTTGCAGACTTCTTTTTGTGTCCTCACTGAGCCATGACTACGGAGACTGTGCACCTAGAGCCTGTGCTCCACAACAAGAGAAGCCACCTCAATGAGAAGCCTGTGCACTGCAGCGAAGAGTAGCCCCCGCTCGCCACAACTAGAGAAAGCCCACGTGCGGCAATGACCCAATGCAGCCAAAAATAAATAAATATATCTGCCAAGTTAGGGTTTTGGGGCTCATGTACTCCTTTGAGAATCCAAAGAAAGTTATGAAACCTCTTCTCAGAAGAGGAGCCCATCATGCACAAATGTAATTTTGTATTAAATTCCGTGGGTTTCTAGATCCCACTAAAATCCATCGCTGGATCCCATACAAGACGATCTCTAATGAGTTTTTTTTTTTAATGGAGTAAAGACATTACTTACTGCAAAGAAGAAAGTGTGCATTTAAAAGTGAAATCCACTTTTCAAGGAGAAAACATCTGGGAACAGTGTACATCCTTGGACCTCTGTAGGGAATCTCTGTACTCTTTTGGCTAGAATGGATTTTGGAGCCTCATAACTGAAAGTTCCAATCCCAACTCCACAACTTGTCAGATTTGTGTTTGGCCACAGACAAGACAAATCGTTCAGATTTAAATTCTTCTTTCTCTTTCTGAAGGCCTTCCAACACCCCTGGGCTTGGAGGTGGGGCTGCTTCTGAGTTACCTCGGAGCATACGTTATATCATCAGACTCACCTTCTCATCTGAGCTCCTTGAGGGCTGAGATGGTGTCTTTATCTTTGCATCTCCAGTCCCTAACAATTTTTGAATTGAGTTGAATGGAAATGTTAGTTATTTTCCTCCTCAGCCTCTGACAGGGAGCATTAGAATTGAACAACAACCATATTAATTTCCTTGGATCCTTTTGCTTGCTGTTTTTCACTTGTTTTCCCAATACACGTAATTTAGAGCTATTATACCTGTCTGCTTCTACCCTATTAGGCTCGACAGGTGACATATGGGAAGAGATAGGGCATGTGAATATGGAGGAATGGAATTAACTTGATGGACAGTCCCTTTCTTTCCAGTAAAAGCAGCTCTTTTCTCATTGTTCATTGACCTTGGAATAATGGATTGTGAACAGGGAATCAACATCTTTTATTACAGCGCATTTACTAGGCCCAACCAAAGAGTCTAAAGCTTTCTGCAAAAATGTGCATTTAGGGGAATGTTCACAACTGGCTCCTGCCAACTTCTCTGCCTTTCAATCCCTCTCTAACCCTCAGTGAATGGAGGGTCGATGCACAGTTCCTAGGTGAGAACAACATAAAGAATTACTGAGTTGGAACTAGAATGCCCAGGGAAGAAGTCTTATGAGCTCAGTTTGTTTCATGCATCAAACCTCTGAAAGCTGCTTGGCTTTTGTAACGAGAAAAGCAGTGAATTTGGAAATGAGTTTGAATGCCTGTCTGTCTTGTTTATAAATGAATAAACCAGGACTCAGGCAGGTTAAATAACCTTCCCAGGGTCACCCGCCTAGTAAGGGTTAATATTTATTTCCTGTAAAGGCTGTTGGGAGGAGAAAAGTATATAAGGTATATACAACATCTAACAGAGTGCTGGCTCCCAGGAGCGCCTAACACCTTTTTGAACACCTAGGAACTGGAAAGATTGGTCCTACAATGTCCCTTTTCAGATTTTATGTGTTTCCCCTAAAATGGATGTCTTGCCACTCTTACCCGCATTTCTCACATTTCCACACATAGAAGGGATTTTCTGCTCTGTTCCCCAGAAATGTATGAGGAACACCTCCAGCTCTTCCCCTTGACCTTCATCCTTGCCCAGAGGAGGAAGAGAGCCAGTCCTGTCATGTTTAGGGTGAGAACTGAGCGTGTTTGGTCACTATCCTGATGCACATTGTTTTCTGATTCACCTTTGCCCACAGACGCATACCTTCTGCTTCTTCTTGCCGGGCCCTTACAGGGTCAGACTCATCCTGGACGAGAAGACCGTATTCATCCAGGACAGTCAGGGACTCGGGGTCCGGTCTCTATATCATGTCAAACATCAGGAGGCCCATTGTGACCACACATATGAAGCACAGTCTCCCATCTAGTGGTGTCAGTGGTGAAGCTGACGTGTTTCACACCCTCTGTCTGACTTCTGTGCTGTCTGTCAGTTGGTTCCAAGTTTGGGAGTGGATAAAAGGGGTTTAGGAAGGCCAATTAATAACACTAGTATCTTGATTCAAAGTCCCCTCAAAGCCAGGGACTTTGAGATGAAAATTCTGGTGGCTGGGAATGTAGTAAGGAGCGAGGTCAAGGCTTTGGGCTTAGCCAGGGTGTAAGACCTTAGATTTTAATACAATAGCAGCTGGTGGGACAGAGAGCTTATTTCTCCATTGCTCACAAGTGAGCAGCTGTTTTTATCTGATCAACTCATTGCCCAGGGATTTGTTTTGTTTTTTTTTTTGTAATTCAACTCACTACAATACACATTTTTTTAAAATTTATTTTTGGCTGCGTTGGGTCTTCGTTGCTGCACGTGGGCTTTCCCTAGGTGCGGCGAGCGGTGGCTTTTCTTGTTGCGGAGCACGGGCTCTAGGCATGCGGGCTCAGTGGTTGTGCCTCATGGGCTCTAGAGCACAGGCTCCGTAGTTGTGACGCAGGGGCTTAGTTGCTCCGCGGCATGTGGGATCTTCCCGGACCAGGGCTTGAACCTGTGTTCCCTGCATTGGCAGGTGGGCCACCAGGGAAGCCCTGCCCAGGGTTTTGATCAGGGATGGTGTTTGAGTCAATAGTGAGCTTCCCTGTGTGTGGTCACAACTCATTGCTGGAGGCATTACATGTGTCCTGTGTGAGCAGCAGACTCTTGGGTGCTTCCGCCTGGTGTTCTCTGGAATTTGCCCCACGCGCCTGCTCCTTTTGCTGGTTTTGCTTTGTATCTCTTCACTGCATTACATCTTGGCCATGTTACAACTATTTGTCAAACTGCATATATATACATTTACATATATATATATATATATATATATATATATATAGAGAGAGAGAGAGAGAGAGAGATAGAGAGAGAGATACAACTGTATATCACTGAACCTGTGGTCTTGGAGAACCTGACATGGAGACTTGAAGGACAACTTGGAAGGGAAAAGGAAAATCAGGAAAAAAAAAAAACTGATTTGGAAAAGCTAGGGAAAAGGAGGGTTTTCATAAAATTGAAATGATTTTCAAATGCTGCTGAGCAACACTAAACTTCAAATGCATCTCTTAATGTCGTTTACACAAAGCTAAATAAGACAACCTGGCCAGAAGGCGAGGTGGGGAACATTCCCAAACTGAGGCAAGGGAATACATACTGTCTGTTTATTTTAAAAGCCAGATTGTGGACTGAAAGTTTCAAGGATACCAGAGGAACTACACACATTTTGCATATATGCATTGTGGATTGAATGGTGTTCCCCCTATGCTAGATTAGGGTGGGCCCAAAATCCGTCATGACTGGTGTCCTTAAGAGAAGAAGGAAATTTGGACACAGAGACAAAGACACTAAGGCCATGTGAAGACTGAAGCATAGATTGTAGTCACAAATCTACAAGCCGAGGAACCCCAGAGATTGCTGGCAGCCACCAGAAGCTGGAAGAGACAGGAAGGATTCTTCTCTGGGGCCTTTAGAGAGAGAATGGTCCTTCCAGCATCCTGATTTTGGATTTTTAGCTTCCAGCACTGCGAAAGAATGTATACTTCTGTTGTTCTAAGCCACTCAGTTTGTGGCACTGTTATGGCAGCCCTGGGAAGCTAATGCACGCACAAATACGCACTCACATGTAGTCATCATATTCCTGATCGGAATTTTATCTTTAATTTTTTAAATGCCTGATTATTTTTATTTCGTTTTGCCACCTATGAAAGAGCAGTAAGTCAAATAGATGCAAAAGCACTCAAAGAAGGATTACAGTTCAAGCAAACGAATCATTAGGCAAAGAACTTGACCCCTGAATGAACCAGCTGTAGGTTGATCTCTCCACTACAGCCCAAGGAGGCTCCAGGTCAGATTGGGGGAAACTGGTCTGCCCCAGTTTTAGCCAGTCCCCATACAAAAGAAAAAGAGGGGTTCAGATACACATGTGCAAGTGTTTAAAAGTTATTTGCTTAATAATTTGTTAGCTCGATTGGTGTGTTCTATCCTCCTATTTTGACAAGTATACCTTCATAACAAGAAAATTAAAAAATATGTGAAAAGTTATGGCTTTATATGACCGGCAACAAAATATCAAAGATAACCAAATTTAATTCTGCACGTACATCTACATTTCTGCTGCTGATCTGCCAGTGTTCAGATGTGTAATAAACATAAACATGACTTATAGATGATTAAGTAGCATTCCATACTATCTGTCACCCTTTCAACTCAAGTTAAATTGCTAGTTATGCTTTCATAATCATGATTTTCTCATACTTTGTATTCTGTTGACTGAAATGACCTAACCATATTAAAATCAATGTAAAAAAAAAGAATTTTCACATTTTCAAATAAAGTTTAAAAATATTAATCATTGGCAATAGAAATGACAGCAAAAATAAACAAATGGGACCTAATCAAACTTACAACTTTTGTACAGCAAGGGAAACCATAAACAAAACAAAAAGACAACCTACGGAACAGGAGAAAATATTTGCAAATGATGCGACCGACAAGGGCTTAATTTCCAAAACTCAACTCAATAACAAAAAACAAACAACTCAATCAAACAAAGGGCAGAAGACCTAAATAGACATTTTTCCAAAGAAGACACACAGATGGCCAATAGGCACATGAAAATATGCTCATTATGACTAATTATTAGAGAAATGCAAATCAAAACTACAACAAGGTACCACCTCACACTGGTCAGAATGGACATCATTTAAAAGTCTACAAATAATAAATGTCAGAGAGGGTGTGGAGAAAAGGGAACCCTCTTATACTGTTGGTGGGAATGTAAATTGGTACATCACTATGGAAAACAGTATACAGGCTTCCTAAAAAACTAAAACTAGAGCTACCATATGATCTAGTAATCCCACCCCTGAGCATATATCTGGAGAAAACTATAATTTGAAGAGACACATGCACCCAAATGTTCACTGCAGCACTGTTTACAATAGCCAGGACATGGAAGCAACCTAAATGTCCATCGACAGATGAATGGATAAAGAAGATATGGTATATACACACCGTGGAATATTACTCAGCCATAAAAAAATGAAATAATGTCATTTGCAGCAACGTGGATGGACCTAGAGATTATACCATATGGTATCACTTACGTGTGGACTCTAAAATATGACACAAATGAACATATCTACGAAACAGAAACAGACTCACAGACATAGAGAACAGACTTGTGGTTGCCCGGGGGCATGGAGTGATGGGAAGCGAAGGATTGGGAGTTTGGGATGAGCAGATGCAAACTAGTATATATAGGATGGATAAACAACAAAGTCCTACTGTACAGCACAGGGAACTATATTCGATATCTTGTGATAAACCATAATGGAAACAAATATGAAAAAGAATATATATATGTATAACTGAGCACTTTGTTGTACAGTAGAAATTAACACATTGTAAATCAACTGTACTTCAATAAAATTTTTAAAAAATATTAATTATAAAAGTAAATTAAAAATATGAAGATAAAATTTTAAGTTATTTAAATGCAGGAATATATTTAATTTAAAAATATAATTGAACCTTTTTTTAATGAAAATAAAACTAGCTGCAAATCTAATATTCAACATCCATTTAGTCACCAAAGCATAGCATGTGTACCATGCTTCACACACATCACGTTTAGATCCATATATACAAAAATATAGGAGCAAAATGAATTGTTTAATGTTGGGAAATGTTTTTCAGACACCATGTTTAACTCTAAGTGCCGTGGTAATTTGTGAATACCTCTGGGACCACATGCATAATGAGAAGCAATAAAATGGATGTTCTACAATCCTAGGAACTGGTTGGTTGTTATGAAAGAATTTACTACATTCCTGCTTTCTGAGCAGGAGAATCAGATAAGTTATCCAAGCGCATCCACAGCTCAAATCGTCCACATCATCTCAAGTGGGCTCCGAAGCAACAGAACCCACAGACCTGGCCTTCAGACCAACCGTCTTCTGTTCTTAGAACATAAGTAGGAGATGAGGCATCTTCCCTGGGGCCTGAATGGTGTTGGTCATGAGAATGGACATTGAGAGTTACGGGTTACACTTTGCCAGCTTGGGTTCCAAGTGACTGAGGTTCCCGCTTGTTCTTTGAATAAATTCATGCACATTTTGTGTTTGTGATATTTGAGGCTCCCCGAAATCCAGGTCCTAGTGGAGGCGCCCTCTTGTCTGGTTCTGAGGGTGGTCCTGGTGGGGTCAGAAAGATGTGTGGGCCTGCAGGAGAGGAACCAGGTGGGTGGGTGTTGCTTGCAGTCGCCCAGATGTCCTGACTGGCGGTAGGAAGGAAGGGGATGGAGAAAAGGTCTTCACTGCTGTTCATTCCAGGCACTGGTCATGAGTGAGAGGTGATTTCATGTCAATTCACGTCTCTCCAGAACCACAGGCAGCCCGGCCAACACACCTTACCCAGGCTTGAGACCTCTTGTGTTTAGGATCCAGGATGATTCTTCATCCCAGCTGAGATCAGCTGGTAATTTAGCCCATGCTGGGAGGGTAAAAAATAATTCCTTGTCCTTATGGGAAGCCTCCTTTGGCCTTACTGTTTCTTTAAAGCAAAACTCAGCGTTTCAGTGCCTCACAAGGAGCCCCTCAACTCCATGCTGCTTCAGTAAGAACTTTACTGACATTTTGGTGGTAAGAAGGAAAGGGGTTTACAATCTAAGTAACATGACAGGGACTTCCCTGGTGGTCCAGTGGTTAAGAATCCGCCTTCCAATGCAGGTGACGAGGGATCGATCCCTGGTCAGGGAACTAAGACCCCACATGCTGCGGGGCAACTAAGCCCGCGCACCACAACTAGAGAGAAGCCTGCGTGTGCGCTGCAACTAAGACCCGACGCAGCCACAAATTAAAAAAAAAAAAAAAGCTGATCTCTGAAGTAGTGAAACTTAAAAAAAAATAATGTGACAAACTTCACACAAACACCCCTTTAAGTCTTTCTATTCTTTCTCCCCAAATTCTCTCCCAAACCAGCCATCCTACCTCTTCCTTAACACCAAGCCCTCCTCCCCTCCCCTCCTCCAATCCCCTCTTCTTCCCCTGCTCTCACCATAACCCCTTCTAAGTAAAGCAGTTCATATCCCCTTAGCTCTGGTTTGCATCTTCCCAGACATCACCCAGCCCAGCACACACAGGAATTTCCCTGGGGTTCACTGTCTTTAGAAAATAGGGATTGGGGTAAATAAAGAGGGGGCTCTGAGACAGGCTTCCAGGACATGCGGATTCTAGTTGAGGTGAA